TCTGGTTGCTACTCACTCACAAATTGTGTAATATATGTTCTTGTATCTTGATAGGGAACTGCTGATGACGTTGTTGATTGGTCCCATGGAAAGCAACTTTGGGATCTTTGTAAAGAGAAGTACGAGCCCTTATGGATAAAGGGAGGAAACCATTGTGACTTGGAACTTTTCCCACAATACATAAGACATCTCAAGAAGTTCATTTCTGCCATTGAGAAATCACATCTGAGGAGCGGAGTTCTTGGGCAAGTCACGAATCAGCTCGACATTCCGAGAAACAGCACGGATTTCAGAGAAAAATCTAGACCCAGTTCAGATCAAAGAGAAAAAACCAGAATGAGTGTTGATCAGAGAGATAAGCCAAGGATTAGCACAGACTGTAGGGAAAAGGTTAAAGTTGCAAATGACAACGGAGACCGGTCGAGGAAGATGTTGGATCGACCGGAGAAAGTGGCAACTGGTGTCGACCAGCCTGAGAAAGCGAGAAACAGCATCGACCGGTCTGCCTGCTGACTTCTCATTTCATAGCTCATAGCGCACACAATATCATGTGTACAACTTTCTTCTGATAGTCTTGATTGCATTGCGTTCTCTTGCAGGTTTGGGGACATGGTGAGATCGGTTGGACTATGCAACATCGACTGTTTCAAACCCACGGCAACACATGTATAGCGGAGCGGTCACTTGTGTCGACGCGTGAGTCTTCGTGAGTGTTAATGATTTGTTGGTTGGTTTGGTTTGGTTTGATCAAAGGGTCTAAAAATGGTTGGTTTAGCATTGAAAGTAAAGGTAGGAAATTGATTTAACCAGGAAGTTTGATTGTGCATCTTGTTTATGCTCACAACTAATAAATCTAACCCCTCTTCCCTCATCTTCCAAAGCTTGATTGTGTATGGTTTGTGTTAACTTTGTAATATCTCCACTTACAGAAATGGAGTTTCTTCCTTCAGAAGCTTTGTCGTGAACAAGTTTGGAATGTTCTTACTCTTTGTTTGTTGTGTAAGATCTAATTTTAACTTGTGTTGTAAGGGGCATCGTTTTACCATTACTGTTAGATTCATTTTCCTCTCTATTTGAGTAAAAAGTATTTATTTCAATCTTCATGGAAAATTTAATCCACCTCGGGGGCCGACGTCAAATGTATTTGTTAGTGGTGGGCTTGGATTGTTACATATGGTATCAGAGCCAGACATCGGGCGGTGTGCTAGTGAGGATGTTAGGCCTCCAATGGAGTAGATTGTGAGATCTTATGTTACTTAACCATTTCTTATTAGGGCGTGGAAACCTCTCTCCAGGAAATGCGTTTTAAAAAACATATTAAATTAAATAATAAAAAATTTATAATTTTAATGTGTCTTCTAATTATAATTTAATTATCTTTTAGTTTGACAATTTAAGAGGATAACAAGATTTAGACCTCTAATCAAGGTTGATACTATTTTTTAATATTATTTTTATTTTTTGAATTAATAAAGAGAGAGATCATTTTGAAAGAAATTAAAAAATTTTACTTTTTAAATGGAACAAATTTTTTTTATATTTCTTTATTTTGTATAACTGGTTAAGCAACGACGTCGTTTAAAGCAAAATTGATATTGGAGGGAGAGCTACTTGCCAGAGAGCTTTCTTCTCCTTGCTTGCTTGAGCTGCCATTGTAATCTTGTTGCTTCGCAAGGAGGCGGAAGAGGAACATCTCGGTAACTCTCTCTCTATCTCTCGAATTGAATGAATGTTAAAAACTTGAGCGGTTCTTTCTGGTGTTCATTTCATTAGCTTATTTGATTTGGGATAGACGGATAGTTATCGTGGAATTTAATGTGCGTAGAAGAAAATATCTGCGCATCCTTAACTTTTCTTCTTTCTCGTTCATGGGTATTGAATATACGAACACGTTCTTTCATCTCATAAGTAAAATCGAGAATGGAATGGTGGGGAAACCCATCTTCCAGAGTAGATTACGAAATTGATTGTGAATTTTAAACTAGTTTAATATTCGTGTTCTTAGAGGCTGTTTTCTTTTCTCTGCAGGTTCACTGATTTGGAATGATTCCTCCTGGATTGTAAACCTTCTTGTTCTTTTCATGTTTAGTAAATTATGAGAGGATTGCTTATAAATCCCACTCTGATTTTATCAAATGAGTTGAATTACCAACTTCACTCGTGTTACCCTGTTAGTTGTGCACACAAGCATTTCCATGGTATTCCAGAATTGAAATCATGTATAAGGCGTAGGATAACTCATGGGGGTAATGTAGCTTCAATGTCGTCGATGAGTATTCCACGATTGAATTTCGTGGTTCGCTCCACAAAAGCTCTGGAATATAGGACATGTGAAGAGGATGAGGCTATTAGATTGGTTGTTGATGAAGGAGTCGAAGAATCGTCTCGGGAGTGGAAATCGCCTCCCTGGGGAGAAGTGAAAAATCAGGATGAGTCAATCTTTCAATCTGAAGATGTAAACCAATCCGAAGGGTTAGAAGGGGAGGGTTTGGTAAGTGACAGAAAGGTGTATTTTCTTGAGGAAACTGATGAAGTTATGCTATCAAAGCGTATTTTAATTCTCAGTAGAAAAAATAAGGTCAGAAGTGCAATGGAATTGTTCAGGTCCATGCATTTAGCAGGTCTTCTGCCAAGTTTTCATGCTTCAAATTCACTTTTAGCTTGTCTTTTGAGGAATGGGCTGTTTGATGATGGTTTACGAATCTTCGAGTTTATGAAGTCAAACAAGCTATCAACAGGGCACACTTATAGCCTTATACTCAAAGCAGTTGCTGATACTCATGGATTTCTTTCTGCTCTTGAGATGTTTAGGACATGGGAGCACGAATATGACTTAAAACAGTTCGATGCAATTGTTTATAACACGATGATATCGGTCTGTGGAAAAGAGAATAACTGGGTTGAAGCTGAGAGAATATGGAGACTAATGGAGGCAAATGGCTGTAGTACAACACATCTAACTTATTCTCTATTGGTGAGCATGTACGTCCGCTGCAACCAGAACGAACTTGCGATCGACATTTATGTAAAGATGGTTCAAAATGATTTAAAACCAGCTAATGATACAATGCAAGCTATTATTGGCGCATCTTCAAGGGAAGGGAGGTGGGATTTTGCTTTAAGAGTCTTTCAAGATATGTTGAAATGTGGACTCGAACCTAATTCCGTTGCATTCAATGCCTTGATCAATGCTCTAGGAAAAGCTAATGAGGTCACTTTAGCATTCAGCATATACAATAGGATGAAATCTATGGGTCATTCACCTGATGTTTATACATGGAAGGCTCTACTTGGTGCTCTTTACAAGGCAAATCGCTACAACGATGCTATTCGTCTCTTTCAGTTTGTGAAAAGAGAGGAGAAGGCTCAATTGAATATACATATTTACAATACCATTCTATTGTCTTGTTCAAAGCTTGGGTTATGGGATAGGGCTCTCCAAATTTTGTGGGAAATGGAGGCCGCCTCTGGTCGCTTAGTCTCGGCATCATCATATAACATCGTTATTAGTGCATGTGAGATGGCTAAGAAGCCAGAAATTGCGTTGCGAGTTTACGAACGCATGATTCATCAGAAGCTCACTCCTGATACCTTCACTCTTTTGTCGCTTATCCGAAGCTGCATTTGGGGATCTTTATGGGATGAAGTGGAACTACTTCTATCTGTAAGTGTTCGCCTCTATGACTCGTCCTGTGCCTCGACGACACTCTTATACTATTTTGAATAGGGACAGATCTTCCCTGTCAAAATTTAGTTCAAACTTTTCATTGCATTAGCATCATTCAATGGACAGAATGAAAAAACATCATTGAAATCCATATGATTGAACTGGAAAATGAGGCTTTCTATTAGACAATTATGGTTTTTGTTGTGTTTTTTCTCTCTGATGATCTTATTCATCTACAATTCCTTGTTCCGATGTTCTTCTTTCGAACGTTTTTCGACATTTTGCATTCAGAATTATTTGGACGTATACCTGATAGTTGTTGTTCTTCAGAAGTCTGCACACGACGCATCTGTATACAATGCTGTCATCCAAGGAATGTGCTTAAGAGGCAAGACTGATTTAGCAAAAAAGCTTTACACGAAGATGCGCAAAATCGGTATCCAACCAGATGGAAAAACACGAGCTTTGATGCTTCAGACGTTGCCGAAGGATCGTGCTGGACTGAAGAACAGGTTGGCTTCTCGTTTCAAGAAAAGGCACAGACATTATCGCCACAGGTAACATGAATGAATGTAAAACAAGGTGTGAAAAGATTAGATTACTGTAAATGAAGTATATATTGTAGATGCATCATGCTAGCTCAAACTCATTGTTGTATAGCTTAGCAGAATGGCTGGTTGATTGCATCAGTTGGCTTATATTCCATAAAAAAAATCTCCTGATCAATCGTATCCAAATTCTACGAGCGATAATCATTTGATTTATGATTTTTCAAATTTATGCTCGTTTCTTATGTTCTTTTAGTTGTACGAGTATAGTTTTGTGGATAAAATACTAATTATCAATCTCATTTTTTTTACTTAAAAAAAAAATATATTTGATGCTTTTTATTTAAAGTTTTTTTTCTTTCTAAAATAATAATTTTATTGAGAAAAAAAGAATAGAAATGACATTTTCTACATTAAAAAAAAACATTTATTAAGTGAAATTTAATGTAATTATATAAGCAGTTTTTACCTTTTAACTTGTATTACATTAATCTAATAGTTTAAAAAATTTATCAAGTTTGGAAAGTTTATATCAAATAATTAAAATATTTAATTTTTTATGTGAAAAATAAAGGAAATGGTTCAAAACTTTCCATAAAAAAACCGAACCCGGTTCAAAATTTGTTAGCGTTCGGAAAATTGTGATCCGCGACTTTTGTTGTCCGGACGAACAGAAGTACTTTCTTTATTTCTTCTTGTTCTTTTTTAGAAAGAAGAAATAGCCACAAATCCACCGTGTTATTCCAACATTCCTGATTCGGCCATGCATCAATTTCAATTCCCAATAAAAAAGATGAAAATATGTTAATAATGAAGCAGCTTCGTCTCGATTTCATGCACGGTTTCAGCCAGATCCTATACACCTTCGATATCAAAGCTTCATTGCTTCTTCTTCTTCCTCCAGTTCTCCTTCCTCTGCATTTCCATGTGCATTGTTGTGATTTCTAGGATTCGTACTCTGATCTTTGTTCTTTAGCTGGTTTGCTTTCTGGGTTCCTTTCTCATGAACCGACCGTGTCAATGTAGCGATCTTCTTTATGTTAGACTCGGACGAAGATCAGACTCCGCGAACGGAACGAAATCACGGGGAGACTGGGAAACGAATCACTGCGATTGGAGATTCATTGAAAGTTCTCCAATGGGGCTGTGAAGTTGATGCAAGCTAAGCGAGTATGGTCAAAGAAGGGAAGGCAGGCACTCCTGCCAAGCTAATAGTTGATGCTCTGCTTCAGCGGTTCCTCCCTCTCGCTCGACGTCGAATCGAAACCACTCAAGCTCAGGTTCATTTTCTATTTTGTTTCCTCTTCTCTGGCCCCATGTTTCCCATCTAGAAAATGTCATGTGGAGTTCTGCTAGTCCGATGAAAATGTTATAGTCACTCTGTTGGAAATGTGAAGAAAAATGGATGTGCTTACTTTTTCCATTAGTATCATCACGAATTATTGTTACAATTTGAGGATTTTTTGATGTTGGGTGTATACCGTGTATTATCTGGTACTCTGATAGATTCTTTTCAGTTTTTCTGGATGCCAGTAGCCCAGTGCTTAATGATTTCATGTGATTTCTTGATCTGGCGGGCACATTTTGTCGTTGTTCTATGCACTCTGACGAGCAAGTCACGAAATCAATTTTCATTCATGTCCAGTTATGTTGTGTAGTACTATTTTGTAAAGAATCCACCACTTTCTTTACTTGATTGCCTCAATTTGCAGGATGGACAATATCTTCGACCATCAGACCCTGCCTATGAGCAAGTACTGGATTCCTTGGCAATGGTTGCCACACACACACCTGTACCACTTTTAGAGGCACTTCTTCGATGGAGAGAAAGGTGCCTCAACTTACCTAGTCTCCTCTATTTTCAGTTATCGTTCTCTTAACGACAATCACTGCCAATTGGAATTAGTTTGAGAGAATCAATAATTTTTATGTAACATTTCTTAGTTTTGACGTCCTATTTTTTTAACATTTCTTTTAATGAATACAAGTATCTTGGCGTAATTGTGTTGCATGTATGGGTGTGTTTATCGTAATTTTTAAAACAATTTGGAAATAAAATCTTACCAATTAAGAGAAAGTACAACTAAAATAAGAGGATAACATCCTCTGACCTCTGTGTAAAGTAAACTGGGATTGGGATTTGGGAACAAGTGTTCAATAGGGGTATAGTTAAACAAATTTTGTCAAGTGTGTGGTGAAAGGTGGAGAAATTGTGATTGTTTTGAAGGGTATATTGGTAAAGAAGTGTGGTGGCGACGAGAGTGTGCGTTGACCTGTGTTTTACAGTGATTAGCGTGTTACTGTGTGGGGGTTACAGTTTTGAAGTAGAGATGCGTTGAGGAGAAACTTATTTTAAGAAACGTGTAAAAAGAGGTTTTGAAGAAAATTGGATAACTGATAAGTGAAGGGAAAATATCCTTCCTTCAAGGCTTTTAGTTTTAGATAGGGCGACTTACTCTTTATGTTTTTCTTTGTGCTTGCGGCTGAGTTCCTAAGTAGGTGATAGAACATCAGACTCGCATGACTTTAGAAGGAAGAAGAATTTCGTGGGCCTATCCTAGGCAGTGATCTTGATGTTATGAAGTGGAAAGGAGAGTTTGAGAAACATGTTTGTTAGAGGTGGCCATGTTAAGATGAGGGTGTAAAAAGAGGGGAGTGTGTATATTCAAATGGAGCTAATGTGTTTAGTTTTTGTTCTTTACAATTCTCCTTTGTTTTGAAATGCTGGTTACTCTTAATAAGATATTGTTAAGACACTGCCGCCAGATAATCTTTTCTTATAGTTCTTTGACAATTTCTCTTTTGCTCCTCATTGCAGCGAATCTCCAAAGGGTGCAAATAACACATCTACTTTCCAAAGAAAGGTTTGCTTATTTTGTGAAAACTATTTAAAATGAATGTTGCTGTTTGAAAGCTTTATGGTTGCCATGTCAATGGAAAGTTTCCAATCGTCTCAGTTGTTGTGGATTGGCATTAGTCTTGGTTGTTGAGGGTCGCCATTAATTCTTGATGATTCTTACCAATTGGTATCTTCATCAGGTTAAATAGTTCAAAATGCTTTACTTTTTCAGTGGGACTGTTTTCTTCCCTACCTGTTTTCCTTGGCTATCAAAACTAACTATCCACACATTTTCCCTTGTGGCTTATTTTCTTGTAACTTTTGGATCCTTTACAACGATTGGAATAATCTCTTTTAGTTTCTTTTTTTCTTGGCTTGAGGATCTACCATCTAATCATCCCTTCTCATCTTTTTGTACCGTTTTGCACTTCGCCAGGCGTGGGCTCGTGGGGAAATTTTGTTTTTCTGTTGTTTGTTAACAATGAAAGAAACATTCACCTGTTCAAATTTTCCTCTTGAGTGTGCTTTTAAATTCAAGTACTATTCATTTTGCTCAGTAGGTAAAGTTTCCAAAAAGGTTTTCAATGGTACTTTATTCTAGAAAAGTTTTCATCATTTGTTTTTTTGTTTCCAAAATAATTCGTTCTAACAGGGATGGATAGTGTTCTTGATATCATTGCTTTAAAATCCCTTGTTCGGAGAAGTTTGCTTTATTAACTTGGAAGTTATTATGATATGCTTTCTCGGGGCATAGCTTGCAGTTGAGTGCATATTTTGCTCAGCATGTATTCGCTTTGTGGAGTGCTGCCCTCAGGAAGAACTCACTGGTTTGCACAGTGTTCTATTGAACTAGTTTAAGTTATTTTTCTTCTTTTGTAGCTAATTGGCAGCGGTTTATCATTGTAGAGAAGCTTTGGTCTGGGCTTGAAAACTTCGTTTTTGATTGGCTAATTAATGCTGACAGGTAAGGTTGCTTTGGCTTCGATAATGAACTATCCAGTTTATTCTATTTTTCTGGCGTAGATATAATCTTTCATTAAAATAAATAGATCAGTATGGAAATTCCGTAATCGTTCTTGAAATTTAATATTTAGATTGGTAAGCTTTATTTTTATTTTTAGAAATTGTTGTATCCTTTTGTTTGAGTCGTGGAAGTTTCATTTCAAGCATTTCTTGCGCTATGCTCTGTATGGATAGAAACTTTGTCGTTTGTACCATAATTGCTTGCCAATGCTTTGATACTGAATATAGAAGTTTGGTGACTTTTAACTTCTCAAGTATCAACGAAAAGTTTGCGTTTCTCGTCAAATAAAAAATAAATAATACTGAATGTAGCATTGAAATTCTGTCTATATCTTGTAGACCAAAGTTTACTATCTTTTGCAGCTTTATCTTTATGTGATATTTACTTACATTGAGGCGTTTTTGTTCCGCTTTATTTTTGTCATATTGTTATGTTTTTTCACTCCCTCGTGGAGTTTGTTTTTTTTGAGTTTGAGTGTCCTTTCATTTTCTTAATGAAAATTTTGTTTTTTAGTTAAAAAAAAAATTGTTATTAGATTTATTCCCTTTGTTAATATCAAGGGTGGATCTACGTAGGGGCCACAGAGTGTCCCCACATTTAATGATTTTATATATATTGTTGAAAGTCTCATGTTGCAAGTTTTTCTTATTTATGAACTTTCTTATTTGTCTTTCTTATTTAATTGTATATCTGATCGATACGTGAATTCAAAAATGTCAAATATGTTGAGAACTTATGAGTCATAATTTTTTAAACTTTTTTTGAATATACTGAAGACCTGTTGAATATAATATTGAAGTTCAATAATTTATTTGACACAAAATTGAAACTTCATGGCTATTAGATACTTTTTAAAGTTTATATACCTTATAGACACAAATTTAAAAATCAAAGGTAACCTTATATGAATTTTCCCCACCTTTAACATTAATTCTTGGATCTGACACTGGTTTATATCGGCAGTATTATAATCATTTATCAGACAATACGACTTTGATGTCCAGATATTGGCAAATTGTTTAGAGAGATGTGCTTGTGCATATATACCTGTTGTTTTTCTTATTGACAAGGAAATTCTTTTTAGTTCTGAGTAAATGTCATTGCAGGGTCGTTAGCCAGGTGGAATATCCCTCATTAGTCGATTTGCGAGGGCTTCTTTTGGATCTTGTTGCACAGCTGTTAGGTGCTTTGTCTCGCATCAGGTGAACAATTTCGTCCTAACATTTGAAACTTATTTGAATTGGACTTCTCGCATGTAATATTTTCAATATAATTTTCAGGTTTACATAAGCTTTTGTTTATCATGCATGCATGTATGTCAATTGATGCTTGCTTTATTATTATATCATAGCATTGGAATTCTACTTGTTTTAGCATTAACTAGTTCTGCGATGCACTTCTCTCTGCTTCACGAACTTATGTTTATAGTCATGTTACTTGAATTAAAAAGGGGTTAAAACATTTATACTCTGTTGGGTTATTATTTGCAGGTTTAATTCTGTGACTGAACGCTTCTTCATGGAACTCAATACTCGTCGGATAGACACTAGTGTTTTACGAAGTGAAACTCTTAGTATAATCAACGGGATGCGCTACCTTAAGCTTGGGGTATGTATATAGTTTATTTTTATGAAAAGTCGTGTGAAGATAACAGCATTGCATGAACTTCACTTCTCAGGTTAAGACCGAGGGTGGCTTGAACGCATCTGCATCTTTTTTGGCTAAAGCCAACCCTCTTAATCGTGCTCCACATAAGCGCAAAAGCGAGCTTCACCATGCCCTCTGCAATATGCTTTCAAACATCCTTGCACCTCTGGCAGATGGAGGGAAGGGCCAATGGTCGCCTTCTGGTGTTGAACGTTCACTAAATTTATGGTATGAAGCTGTTGGACGAATTCGAGCACAACTGATGCATTGGATGGATAAACAGAGCAAACACATTAATGTAAGTGGGCTCCATTTTGTCTCCTCCCTGTAAAGAGGTCAATATTTTATTTACTATATTAAATTTATAAATTTGGATTGGAGCTTTTTTTTCTGTTTTGGCTCTTTGACATGCATGGCGTGGTCTGTTAGCTTTTTTTGTATCTTTCACCGTTCTTGATGAAAAAATTGTATCTTCTGAAGAACATAGAGGATATATCGTTTGGAGATAAATATATGCTAAGGTAATTATATTTCTAACAGTTATCAGATACAGTAAAAAAAAAAATTGCTGATAAAAGTATATTTTCCAAAATTGATGAGATTGTTGTCTCTGGGAGTAGCCGAACAAATTTGGTTAGGTAGATATATTTGAGGTCATAATACTTTTGGATCTCATAGTAACATTCTTCTTCATATCCAACATCATGTCTGTTTTTCCTGCTGTGCTTTACATCAGTAGTTCTTTGTGTTCTAGGTTGGTTATCCGTTGGTCACTCTTCTTCTCTGTCTTGGTGATCCTCAAATATTTCACAACAACCTAAGCCCCCATATGGAGTATCTCTACAAGCTCCTTAGAGTAAGTACAATTTACTTTTGAATTAAGGAAGTTAATGATGACTACAGCTAACTCTAAAAGATCCTCGACTCTTCTTCAATGTTCAATTTAGGAAGTTTCTAAAGTATATTTGAATGGCAAATGAAAGTGGCATCCCGTTCCCATCACTCATATTTATAAAATGTTGGTTTGATTGTGCAGGACAAGAATCATCGATTTATGGCCTTGGACTGTCTTCATCGGGTTTTAAGGTTTTACTTGAGTGTTCATGCAGCTAATCAGGCCCCAAATCGCATATGGGACTACTTAGACAGTGTGACTTCGCAAATTCTTACCGTTATAAAGAAAGGATTGCTTACTCAAGATGTTCAACATGATAAACTAGTTGAGTTTTGTGTGACTATTTCGGAACATAGTATTGATTTTGCAATGAACCACTTGTTATTGGAATTATTAAAACAAGAGAGTTCTGGTGAGGGAAAAGTTATTGGTCTTCGTGTTCTCCTTGCCATTGTTACATCTCCTTCAGGCCAGCAAATTGGCTCGGATATATTTAAAGGTAACCAACTAGTTAAGAGCCTCCGAACTTGCTAAAGGTACATTGTTTAATCTAATCAACTTTGTTGCATCGGCAGGTCATGATATTAGCCACTATGTTCCAAAGGTGAGGGCAGCAATTGAATTAATTTTAAGGTCGTGTCATAGAACCTACCGTCGGGCTCTTCTAACTTCTTCAAGGAACAACATCGGTAATTTGTTTTCTAATTTTTTACAGTGCCTATTTGTAAGAAGATAGTTTGGGCGTCAAAAGAATTGAAGATTGAGGACCTCACTGAGGTGCTTACCTAGGAGAGCCTGCTTTACTTGATAATAGATAAGGTGTCAAGGGTGTACATGGTGCCTACATGTATTGCATAATGAACACCTTAATGCTAGAGTATGTTGTGCGAACTGCCATATTAGAGTGAAAAGTAAAATATTCATCATTAAATAGCTTTGAATCAACAGCTCAGAAACTAGTCATATTCTTAATAAATCTATAAGCACGAACTTCTTAAAAATCAACAAAGCTTTTCTTCTTTGGGAAGCAGACAATCTCCAATTAATTATGAGATCTTGTGCATTTGTAGCTGTTTTAGTTGTTGCCCGCTTCTTACAAGAATGGTTTGATCTTTAGTTAGTGTTGTTTTTGCCTGTTTTAGGACATTCTATTTAAACTTTAGGTCTTTTTAGCTTCTGACATCTCCTTTCTTGCTATAGTTGAATACTTCCTACTCAAGTTTTATTATTATACTTGTGAAAGCTGTATACTTCTCGTTTGATCTTCTTTTTCTTAAACTTAAGTATCTAGCTTTTATTTTTATGGGAAAATTGAAAGCGAATTGTTCTCTTCTTAGATTCTGTGACAAAGGAGAAGTCCCAAGGATATCTTTTCCAGTCAGTCCTGAAGTGTATACCATATTTGATCGAAGAAGTTGGAAGGAGTGATAAAATAACTGATATAATACCTCAGCATGGAATTAGTATTGATCCTGGTGTTCGAGAAGAAGCAGTCCAGGTACTGAACAGGATAGTAAGATATCTTCCTCATCGTCGCTTTGCTGTAATGCGAGGGATGGCTAACTTCATCCTACGGCTTCCTGATGAATGTTCACTTCTTATACAAACATCATTGGGGCGCTTGCTGGAACTTATGCGATTTTGGAGAGCTTGTTTGATTGAGGACTGTCTGGAAAATGAGGCCAATGATGAGAAGCGTACAGTTCAAAGAACTGAAGGGTTCAAGAAACCATCATTTCTTCATCAGTCAGGAGAATCAATTGAATTTCGTGCTTCAGAGATGGATGCAGTTGGTTTGATCTTCCTTAGTTCTGTGGATGGTCAAGCTAGGCATACAGCGTTGGAGTTATTGCGCTGTGTGCGTGCCTTGCGGAATGACATTCGAGACCTTGCAATACTTGACCAACCAGATTATACTTTTAAATATGATGCTGAGCCAATATTTATTATAGATGTAGTAGAGGAGCATGGGGTATTTTTCTTATAATGCCTTTTGCACTTCTCAGCAGTTCCTCTTCACTTGACTCATTGAACTGCAATGATCTCAAACTGGATTATTCAACTACAGGATGACATTGTTCAAAACTGTTACTGGGATTCAGGGCATCCGTTTGATTTGAAGCGAGAATGTGATGCAATCCCTCCAGATGTTACTCTTCAGTCCATAGTATTTGAAAGCCTTGACAAGAACAGATGGGCACGTTGTCTCAGTGAGTTGGTTAAGTTTGCTTCTGAGGTATGCCCAACTTCTGTTCAGGAAGCAAGGTAAATTATGCTTTTCCCAAAAACTGGGCTTTCTTGAAAATTATATCTTTTAAGGATTTGCTGGGTTGCTTTTTGGCGACTCTGTTATGAGCTACTGTCCAATATTGGGCCTTCTTTGTCTCTCTGTGATTTAATGGTCAACATTTGAAGTTTCTGCTCTAGTATGTATTTTATACATAATTTTGGCTGGCAGGGTTGAGGTTTTGCAACGTCTTGCTCATGTCACACCAGTTGATTTAGGTGGAAAGGCCCATCAATCCCAAGATTCAGACAACAAATTGGATCAGTGGCTAATGTATGCTATGTTCTTATGTTCATGCCCCCCAAATCCCAAAGAAAGTCCTGCCTCAGGAAAGGCCAAAGAACTTTATCACTTTATTTTCCCTTCAATAAAGTCTGGATCAGAACCGCGCGTGGTCAGTACATTTTCTAGACAAGTTTTCTGCCTCAACTTTATTTTCTTTTCCTTTTTATGTCTCACCTGTGGTTTGTAAATTGTTTGGTTTTAAATAAACTAACTAAATTAAGTTTATTTACCAGTACTAAAGTTTGTCAGTTCTCCTAATTCAGAATGCAGCCACCATGGCTCTTGGACACTCGCATTTTGAAGCTTGTGAATTAATGTTCAGTGAGCTCGCATCTTTTACCAACGAAGTTTCCCAGGAGACTGAGGGAAAGCCAAAATGGAAGGTATTATTCAAAGTGCATTGTCTTTTATTAAATGATGTATGTGAAGTAGTTTTGTTTTGTATTTTGAGATTCAATATGCATTTGTAGAGTTTCTTAACTGGAATACATAATACTTTCTGGGCCAAAACTTTATACTCGCAAGTATAACCACCAATTGCTTGCATTTTAAAGCAATCAAGAACTGGAGTTGGAGCATACTCTGGAAAAGAATGGTTATAAAGATGAATGATTTGTTGAATGTCTTACATGCATGATTGTGCATTTATCAACGTGAAAGAGCCTTTTGTAACCCCATGGATTCTATCTCTTTTGTAAATTTCATACGTTAGTGCAAGTGTTTCTTGTATTCAGGTGCTTTCATATCAAAATTTCTTCTTGTGATGACTAACTGACTTCCATACTTTCAGAGCCAAAAACCACGACGTGAGGAGCTTCGTATTCATATTGCAAATATTTACCGTACTGTTGCAGATAAAATTTGGCCTGGCATGCTGGCACGTAAATCAGTTTTTCGTCGCCATTATCTCAAGTTTATCGATGAGACAACCAAACAAATTTTAACAGCACCGTCGGACAGCTTTCAGGAAATGCAACCTCTTAGATATTCACTTGCTTCTGTTCTGAGATCTCTAGCCCCAGAATTTGTTGAGACAAAGTCAGAGAAATTTGACCTTAGAACTAGAAAGCGGCTATTTGACCTTCTACTCTCTTGGTCTGATGATACAGGTGGTTCATGGGGCCAGGATGGTCTAAGCGATTATAGACGAGAAGTAGAACATTACAAATCTTCTCAGCATGCTCGGTCGAAAGAATCTGTCGATAAGAATCCATTGGATAAAGATCTTAGTGAACAAATTGAAGTAATCTGGGCTTCCATGACTGCTATGGCTTCACTCTTGTATGGGCCCTGCTTCGATGATAATGCTAGGAAAATGAGTGGCAGGGTCATTTCTTGGATAAATAGTCTGTTTATTGAACCTGCACTCAGGGCTCCTTTTGGTTATTCACCGGCTGATCCTAGAACTCCATCTTACCCCAAGTCCGTAGAAGGCGGCCGTGGCACTGCTGGTCGTGATAGGCAAAAGGGGGTTAACAATCGTGTTTCGTTAGCAAAATTGGCTTTGAAGAATCTCCTCATTACAAATTTGGACCTGTTTCCTGCTTGCATTGATCAGGTAAGATAATTCTTTTATATCTTCTGCGACGGATTTTGTCTAGTTAAAATTTACAACAGAGTTCTCTTTTTATCTTCAGTGCTACTACTCCGATGCTGGCATAGCTGATGGTTACTTCAGCGTGCTGGCAGAGGTTTATATGCGTCAAGAGATACCAGAATGTGAAATCCAAAGGCTTTTGAGCTTAATTCTATACAAGGTGGTGGACCCTAGTAGACAAATTCGTGATGATGCTCTTCAGATGCTTGAGACTCTTTCTGTTCGTACGTGGGCTGTAAATGGCATGGAGGGACCAGGGAGTTATAGAGCAGCCGTTGTTGGTAACCTTCCTGATTCATACCAACAGTTTCAGTATAAGCTCTCTTGTAAACTCGCTAAAGATCACCCTGGATTGAGTCAACTGCTTTGTGAGGAGATAATGCAAAGGCAACTTGATGCAGTTGATGTCATAGCTCAACATCAGGTTCTTACGTGCATGGCTCCATGGATTGAGAACCTTAATTTCTGGAAACTAAAGGACTCAGGTTGGAGTGATAGACTTCTTAAAAGCCTTTATTATGTCACATGGCGACATGGGGATCAGTTTCCTGATGAAATCGAAAAGCTCTGGAGCACGATTGCTAGCAAACCGAGGAACGTAAGTCCAGTTCTGGATTTCTTAATCACGAAAGGAATTGAAGATTGTGATTCCAATGCATCTGCAGAAATAAGTGGTGCTTTTGCCACATATTTCTCAGTTGCAAAGCGGGTGAGTTTGTACTTAGCACGGATTTGTCCTCAGCGTACTATTGATCACCTGGTCTACCAATTGGCGCAGCGCATGCTGGAAGACAGCATCGAGCCAGTTGGTGTCGGTTTCAAGGGGGATTTAAGTGGGAACTTTGTATTGGAATTCTCTCAGGGGCCTCTAGTTGCCCAAGTTACTTCTGTTGTAGACAGCCAACCACACATGTCACCACTACTTGTACGTGGATCCCTTGATGGTCCGAGAAATACTAGTGGGAACTTAAACTGGAAAACAGCTGGTGTAACAGGCCGAAGTGGATCTGGCCCTCTAAGTTCAATGTCTCCTGAGTTGAACATTCCTCCAGTAAATATAGCGCGTTCAGGCCAACTAATTCCAGGTTTAGTAAACATGTCCGGTCCTTTGAAGGGTGTTAGAAGTTCTACTGGAAGTATACGAAGTCGGCATGTTTCCAGGGACAATGTTGACTATCTCCTTGACATGCCAAGCTCTGGTGAAGATGGGCTTCATTCTGGGGTTCCTGTCCATGGGGTGAATGCTAAAGAACTACGTTCTGCGCTACAGTGTCATCAACAACATTCTCTGACACATGCAGACATCGCATTGATCCTCCTCGCTGAAATTGCGTATGAGAACGATGAAGATTTCCGCGAGCACTTGCCGTTGCTTTTCCATGTCACCTTTGTTTCTCTGGATAGTTCGGAAGACATTGTGTTAGAACATTGCCAGCAATTGCTTGTTAATTTACTATATTCACTTGCAGGTCGTCACTTGGAACTTTATGAAGTTGAAAACATTGATGGAGAGAATAGGCAACAGGTTGTCAGCCTGATCAAGTATGTTCAGTCAAAGCGTGGAAGCATGATGTGGGAGAACGAAGACCCGTCGGTTGTGAGGGCCGAGCTTCCTAGTGCAGTACTTCTCTCTGCTCTGGTTCTGAGCATGGTGGATGCCATCTTCTTCCAAAGTGATTTACGTGAGACGTGGGGATTGGAGGCACTGAAATGGGCCATGGAATGTACATCACGACACCTTGCTTGTCGCTCACACCAGATATACCGTGCATTACGACCGAGTGTTACAAGTGATACTTGTGTGTCTCTCCTTCGTTGCCTACATAGATGTCTGGGAAATCCGGTACCCCCGGTATTGGGGTTCATTATGGAAATCCTGTTAACCTTGCAGGTAATGGTAGAGAACATGGAGCCTGAAAAGATGATACTCTATCCTCAACTCTTCTGGGGGTGCGTGGCTATGATGCACACAGATTTTGTCCATGTATACTGCCAGGTTCTCGAGCTCTTCTCTCGAGTGATGGATCGTTTATCATTCTGGGACAAAACAACTGAAAACGTACTCCTTTCAAGCATGCCTCGAGATGGATTTGATACTAATAACGTCATTGGAGACTTCCAACGGATTGATACTAGAATGGGCTATGAGAAGCCTCCATCCACTGGGAATCTTCCAACGTTTGAAGGTGTTCAGCCTCTTGTACTTAAAGGGCTAATGTCAACTGTTAGTCATGGTGTCTCAATAGAGGTTCTTTTACGGATTACAGTGCACTCATGTGATTCCATATTCGGCGATGCAGAAACGAGACTTCTGATGCACATCACAGGCTTAGTTCCATGGCTCTGCTTGCAGCTCAGTAAGGATCCACTGAAAGGACCAACTTCACCACTCCAGCAACAACATAAAAAAGCATGCTCAGTTGCATCCAATATTTCTATCTGGTGTCGAGCCAAATCACTCGACGAATTAGCCAATGTTTTCATGGCGTACTCTCGAGGCGAGATCAAGAGTATTGAAACCCTTCTTGCTTGTGTCTCCCCTTTACTCTGCAACGAGTGGTTTCCACAGTACTCGGCGCTGGCTTTCGGGCACTTGCTACGCTTACTGGAGAAAGGGCCAGTCGAATACCAGCGTGTAATACTGCTCATGCTGAAAGCATTACTCCGGCATACTCCTGTGGATGCTTCCCAAAGTCCACAAATGTATGCAATCGTCTCACAGTTGGTGGAGAGCACATTGTGCTGGGAGGCATTGAGTGTGTTAGAAGCTCTTCTACGGAGTTGTAGTTCAATGACAAATCCACACCCATATGAACCAGAGTCCTTTGAAAATGGACTGAGTGGAGTGATGGACAAGATTTTGGCTCCTCAGACATCGTTCAAGGCTCCCTTACAACATGGTTTTTTATCAACGCCTGGATCAAATGAATCAGGAGCCTCAGCAAGAGAGGTGGCTCTGCAGAATACACGGCTTATTCTTGGGCGGGTTCTTGATACCTGCGTACTGGGAAAGCGGAGAGACTACAGAAGGCTGGTTCCTTTCGTTACCAGTATTGGGAATTCTTAACTTGACTCTCTGTGAGTAATTTCTTGTTGTGTAAATGCAATGTATATACACATCAAGAGCAGTTTTGTAGGTAGTCTTCATTCATATTCTCAGTACTGGTAACCATTCATATTCAAGCTTGGTAACCATAACTATATTTTCTTACGAATCATTGAGACCCCACAGTGGTCGGAGAAGGAACGAAACATTCTTTAAAAGGGTGTAGAAACCTCTCTCTAGTAGACACGTTTTAAAACCGTGAGATTGACAGTGATAGGTAGCAGGCCAAAGTGGACAATATTTACCAACGGTGGGTTTGAGTTTTTAAAAAGGGTTTCAGAGTGAGGATGTTGGCCCCCAAGGGGTGAAACGCGTTTTATAAAAAATTCTGAGCCGGTGACGATACAACGGGCCAAAAATGACAATTTGTCCATTGCGGAAAATTCCCCACAGTTGCCTCCCAGAATCCGGGCCGTGTTTCAGTCCCAGAGTGGCTGATCATCCTCTCGGACTAGCTAGTGATCATCGCCTTAGTAAGCTATTGTCTCACCAACTAGCTAATCAAATGCGAACCCCTCCTCGGGTGGATTCCTCCTTTTGCTCCTCAGGATACGGGGTATTAGCAGCAATTTCCAGCTGTTGTTCCCCTCCCAAAAGCATGTTCTTACGCGTTACTCACCCATTTGCCACGGGAAATACCACTTCCCGTCCGACTTGCATGTGTTAAGCATGTCACTAGCGTTCATCCTAAGCTAGGGTCGAACTCTCTATGAGATTCATAGTTGCATTACTTATAGCTTCCTTGTTCGTAGACAAAGCTACTTCAAAATACATTAAAGATGTATTTAACGTAAATTTAAAAGTTCAATGGTTTATGGTCTATTAGACACTCGTTAGAAATAGACGTAGGATACACAATGTAGGGTTAAATTTGTCATTTTTTTATAATTTGGCTTCACAGAATTAAAAAAATAAATAAAGAATTGAAGAATTTGTTTTAAAATTTAAACCAAGAGAGAGGATTGCAACCTACCTATGCCTAAATTGAGTAAACCCAAAAAATTAATGATATTAATTAGAACACTTAAACTAAAATGAATGCTAAGTGCAAGGTTTTAGTATCTCTTGTTCATTAAATTAAAATAATATATTTAAAATTAAAAAAAAAAAAAAAAAGAAAGAAAGAAAGAAATAAATATCTGAAAATTAGTTTATTGAGAATGAAGAAGAACGGCATATAAAAAACCTGAATTTCGTCGAAATATCCCCAAATGTTATTTCCCCCAACATATTTCTATGGCTTTTTTCTCTATTCCTAAACTTCATCTTCAACCTAACATGCCTCTTCCTGATCAACCCCGCTCCGATTCTCCTTCTCCGGTGCCGTCGATCACATCCTTCCGCCGCGACGAATTCCCCAACCCCATGGATTTCAACCCTTTTGCCACCGTCCCCTCCATCGTCGCTCCTCCCGACGATTCCCTCCGTTTTGAGACCGATTGGTTCTCCGACACGGATTCCGACTCCGAACGCGATGTCAGTTGCTTGGTGACTGATCTTTTTGAGAATCATCGCTTCACCGATCATTTACTCGCTCTCAGCAATCACGATCATGATCTGGATTCTGGGCCGGACCCATTTACGCATTCTGCAAACGACTTGGGCATTTCGGGGTTTGAAGATAGCGGTGACATTGAATCTAACTATACTGAGGAGCTGTGGTCGACGTTTGCTGTGGAATCTGATAGCCGGGTTTCGGAGGTGGATGTGAGCATGCAAGTTGCGGATTCGATTAACAGTGACCTTCGGGTTGTTGATGTAGATTCGGACTCGGATTATGAAAATGGAATTATCGGTGCTCTGCAATTTGTGACAGGGGATGATGGCGAAAATGATGTTAATTGGGTTGAAAGTCCGAATCCTCTCTCAGATAACTTCAGCTTTTGTTTTCAGCAGAGGAATTCGTACGAGGATTTTGAATGGGAGGAGGTTGAGGAACGGGTGGACGAAAGGGAAATTTCGAGCGTAGTGGTGGAGGGAGCCGAGGAATTGACCATTGCATCTGGTTTTTCCAATGATGAAGAATCAGGAGAAGAGGCGGGCCGATGGGAAATTTTATTGGTAATGGACGACATTGGGAGCAACACGAATTGGGAACGGGATAATGATGCTGAGGCGTACGTAGCCGACCAGGATGATTACATGTATGCAGCAGAATATGATACCCTTTTTGGACAATTCGTTGAAAATGAGAACGCTTTGAAGGGTTGTCCTCCAGCAGCTAAGAGTGCTATGGAGAATCTTCCTCTGGTTGAGTTAAAAACAGAGAATATACTGACAGAGGAAGTGGTTATTTGTGCTGTTTGTAAGGATAAATTTTCAATGGAGGAGAAGGTGAGGAAGCTTCCTTGCTGCCACTATTACCATGATGATTGCATTCTGCCATGGCTGAATATCCGAAACACATGTCCTGTTTGTCGGTATGAGTTGCCCACCGACGATCCAGATTATGAGCGTAGGAAGAGTCAGAGGGCCAGTGGTGGCCAGCAAACGGACTTGCAGGTCAGGTACAATTTTGAACTAATAGCTTAAGGTTAGGCAGTCTGTGAAGTGCAACCTGTGAATAGCCTCTTTTAGATGAAGAATGTTGCTTACGATTTTGCATTTTGTAAAGGTTTTGTGGTAAGTACTTGTTTTTAACATTATCAGCATTGCTGTTGATACACTCTAATTATCTCAGGTATCCATTGTGATTCAATGCTTGGTAAGTTTTAGTCACCAATAGTAGTGGGAAATTATATTGTCTTTTACCTTGTTGAATTCAGTTTAGGATTTGTAATGCTTAAGACAGGACATACTAATGATAATATTACTACTACAAGTTCTGGGCTTTGAATTGTGTAGTTGTGAAGTATATTAAATTAATATGTTTATATGCTTGAGTATCTGTTGGTAAACCTGTAAAAATGGGAACCTGAAGGCACTTTGATCTTTCATGAATTGTGGGGATTTTTTATGACTATGGAAGGTTGTTTGAAAAAAAAAAAAAAAAAACTAAAGAAGAATATATATATATATTTTTTTTTTCTTTCAAACAACCTTCCATAGTCATAGACTCCTAAATTGTGGTGCTAGCTATTGTTGCATTTAGTTGTGTGTAATCTTATTGTTCCATTCAAATTTTCTTAGAAATGCTTATATGAAATTTTATGATGGTGTTAGTAGTTCTATTAGTTGAATCTCGGTGGCCTTGGGCAGAAGATTCAAGAAGGAGCTTTGAAAATAGAATTCTTATTGTCATATATTTGTGCGTAAAAGGGTGAAGTTTATTTATTTAATTGTTTAACCAGAAACAAAGCTTTTCTCTCAAAAGATACAATGTAGTTTGAGCTTACTTGATAAATCAGCTTTGTGAGGTGAACAATGAATAAGTAGCAAATCATCAGTTTGCAGGCATTGCTCTTAAATTGCCTCCTGTTGCGTTTTGGACTTCTTTCCTCTTTGTTTGGTTCGTTTGCATTTTCTTCATGGTCCATATGGTGTTTGCTGCTGCTACAACGCCAGTGCACCATATAAGACTACGACATGAAACCGAGGGTGAAATAGCAGGGTTCTAATAACCACTTCAATCATTTATCCTCATACTTGCAATCTGGATTCTACTTAAGCTGTGCATGTGTGATTGATGGAAGATTATCTTTCTCATATTGATTTAAAAATGAAGTTGAAAACATTGGAACTTTGACTACACACAATTCTGCAATTTCACCCTGGTTTATTTCTTGGTGTGTTGTTGGGAACTCTGCGATTGGAGTTGGTTGGCGGTATTCTTTCCAGGTTTGAGATCGTGAAACATATGAAACCCAGTTAGTTTTATCCGTATTGGTTATGAGGTTGTTTGCTGTGGCTAATTTCTTTGTAAATTTCAGGTTTCTGAGGAGTAGATTTTGATTTCATCCATGTTTTTTCACATCCTAGATTGCATTTTCTTTTCAGGTTCTTGGAACATACCATTATTGGAATGAAATTTTTTTATTTCACCCATCAATCATATCTTTTACCTATGGTTAATACATTGAGATTGATTCAACAAAGGGTCTGATTGCCAACACTGTTCAAAATATGTTTTTGTTATTACTTGTCTCAACCTGGAAAATTTTCTTGATCTTTATATGATATTGATACCCATGAAGATGTGTTGGGTGCAATTCCACCCATTTTCATCAACACATATTGATCTTATTATTGGTGTACTACTTTAAATCATTCTAATTTGGAAATGGTTGGATGAAATTCTCTCCAACCTTCTATCTTTTGTGATTCTTGTAAATTCTCATCATGGTTATATGTCGATAGAAGCGTTTTTCCTCGTTGATTTGCAGACGAGATGCAAACTTGAATTAGGTTTGGACTATTAAATGGGAGAATGGGAGAAAGCTAGCAAAACTCAGTAAATCAGAAGTATAGTGCTTTTAATAAATGTGGTTGTCTAATTAGACGACGGAGACTTGATATGTTTAACTTACATAAGAGGGCGTCTACAAAACCAACTTTAATGCCAAATCCGCATATGCAAATCAAGCAAAACCAAAATATGTGAAAGTGAGAATTAATGCAATAATGCTACACTATTGCATGATCCCTCTCGATGAGTGTTATTTATAGACTGAAATGATCCTACCTCTTTTAGAGTATTACATATGGGCGTAGGTATCGATGGGCCCTTCACAAAACTTCAATAGCTTAAGATATTGTAAAGATTTTCTTGGATCTAGGAATCATGACATCAATAAAACTTCAGAAAATCAAACGAAATCATATCTCTTAAGAACTCAATAAGAAAAATCGAGAACTTGTGTTTAAATGAACGTAGAACTCTCATAAGGATGAACCTCGACAAGTTTAAGAAGCAAACCCATAAAAAAAAACCAATGTTAAATGTTAATAAACTCGAAATTTATACCATTATTTTTCACTTGAGGTTCAAATAGATCGTAAAGATATGTGGAATGAACCTCTAAAACTCCATAAGAAACCTGGGCAAGAAGATGAAGTGGTAGCTATCATGTCAAAAGTTACCCAAGTGTTATTGTAGTTATCCTCAAAATCGGTAGTGGATTAGGATCTTAATCCAAGTTTTGGTGAGCAAAAGAAATGTCCTAAGTGATTGTCTTAATCCGAATTAAAAAAAAAAATGCTCTACCACTCCTTTAAATGCACTTCTCAACATCATGAATTAAAAGCACGTACATTCATTGCACATTCTAATATGGAAAAATCACATAAAAGTTCGTAATTTATTACATCAATGAGTTAATCCATTAGTGTGCATAATTGAAGCAAGAAAACGATGGGCACAAAAGAGAAATTCTAATGCTTAAAGAACAAAATCGAGACATGTTTCACAAAATTTTGGCACAAAAGATGTATATTCATCGAAGAATCGAAGAACAACATAAGAACAACATATGAGTCAAGTAGAGAGAATCATACTCAAAGAACTAAAACACGAGTCTTCCTATCGTTAATAATCATCAAAAAGCCTATAACTACAGAAGAATTTGTGTGGTTTGTAAACCATGAAAGCCAAAAAGAAGACTGCTTTATCTTTGATGACTGATTGATTCTTTTCTTTCCAAAGATTGTACAGTAGAGTGCGAGTAGCACATCTCCATAAAACCTTTTCCTTTCAAGCCACAGCATTTTCGAGACCCAATCATCCACCCTTTTAAAAAGGCACACAGCCACCCTGAACTCATTTAAGACCACCCATTTGTGCCCCAAAAGAACAGCGTTCAATAGAGGAAACTTCTGTAACACAAAAACTACTACAGGTCAATAAATGATTATAATTAGAGGAAAATTCTTCAAGAACACGCTCAAATGTTCATTCACCTTGTTGAATTTTCCAACAACAAATCATCCTCTTGTATTCTTTTTCCTCACTAAAGTATATGAGAGGGAATGAGTTGAAAAAGAAATGGTTAAAGATGGTTTGTGAAAGAGGAAAAAAGCAAAGAAAATTGGTGATTTGTAAGATGAACACTATTGGGTCAATTTGAAGGAATAGAAAGCCAACAAGCATCTAAATAAGACAGCCACAATAAAGATGATTTGGGCATTTTCCTCTCTCTTTCTATCTAAATTAATCATCAAATTATACTAGCCAACAAAGCTGCAATAATGTACATTTTGGACTCTATCCTATACTTAAAAGGACACCCACCACAAGAATTTGTATTGAGAGAGAGAAAGAGAAAGAACATCACCAAATGCCATTCAACAAATACATACATTGAGGTTGCTTTAATGGGGTGCAATGAAAAGTTACCCATTTTGATATACCAATATTTTTTGGCTCTCTCTTTCTCTATAGAATTCTTTTCAAAAAAGAAAGCTTGAATTGACAAGATGAGCAATAGGAGGGCAAGATGTAGAGGGTGGTGGCACTAACCCACGCGCACTTTGTCCCACAAATTGTCACCTATCATCACCCTCTCCCTCTCTCTATTGTCTTTATCTTTCTATTTGTTTGGCTTTCTTTTTTTTCCCTACTTCCTTTGCTTACTCCATCATCTTTCTTAACATAATTTTATTTCCCAATCAGTTTCTTTTCACTTTGTATATAATGCATCAGTCCAAGTACTTTTCAGAAAATATATATTATTCCAAACACAATTGGTTCTTAAAGTTTCAAAGAGTACAGGGGAAAAGAAGAAAAGGAAGGTTGATAAATAAGTTTTATGTATATTTACTTGATGTTAGCTTTTAGTGAGATTAAAAAGCTCCTGATGGGTTGAATCGTTTAGTTAGGTCAGATTGTGAGTTTTTTAGATTTCGTAACATTATAAGGTTGTGTTGGGGTGTTAGGTTTATCTTAAGTTATAAGTTGAGTGTATATTTGATGTGTAGATTGACTTATCTCAAGTTGATTAAAGCCATAAGTCAAATATCTAATCGGACACCGTCAACAAAGGACATTTTTCATCTTCCAAAGTCTTCTCGAGTTCACCCTTAATTGGGGTGGTGACTCGAACCTCTAACTTCCTAGTCGATGATTTATGTCTTAACTAAGTGAACTATATTTACGTTGACTTCTTTCCTTTACTTTAAAGTTGTACCAAAGTTTACGAATTCGTTTAAAGGGCAAAGGACATGATAAAATTATTGAGTACCACTCCATAGGACAACATCGTATATAAATATCCACATGATGTACACTACAAGTACAATTGCAAAAATGACAAACCAGCAGTGAAGTTTCTGATACAATTGGACAAGAAAACATACTGAAATCTGTACTTCCCTACATATCTATCAACGTCCTACACAGATCTCAGGACACTCACAAGTGAGTGAAGGAGAGAGAAAGAGACAGAAAGAAAGATCATGGTCAAAATCTTTGTAATGACAATGTTGACTAAGCAGTCCACTCAATCAGACAAGAGCCTCAAGATGTGGGGAAGCAGAATTTTTTTTTAAGTTCTCTTTTCTCCAGTAAAGATTGTGGTATTACATGATTCAGAGAAAATCTCTTTATTAAGTGGAAGACTAACTTTCAAAGCAAGTACACAATTACTTGCGAGTGTAGCTATTCCTTACACAAATCAGACAAGCTTTTCCACTCTGAAAGCAACTTTTTACCTTGCTGAGTGAGTGTGGTTAGGACCTCAGCTACTCTCTATGCCTTTAGCAGCTAAAAAAATGCGACCCCAGTTCCACCAACAAGCTCAGATTTGACCAGATTTTAAAAATAACATGCTTGATTGAAGCAATCATACATGGTTGGCCATTAATTTTTTGGCAGCTCGACATCGAGCAACTCTGGCGTCTAGCGTCCCTTGCTCGGACCACAAAACTTGACAACGATTGAAACAACAAGACTAAGTGATGAACTACGGTTAGAGTTTATGAGTAAAAATCTTATTTTTCAAAAATCATCAAGTCAACAATATCATCATAAAAGATTTATACAAAGCAGTCCCGGGGTGTCGACAACTTTCATGTGACAAAGTTTAATCGACTAGGACTATTATGATGAGGGACGACATTGAGGTTACCTTAGTGTCTAGATCTCTATCAACTTTGGGAATTCATATATCATGTAAAATTTCCTATATATTTTGAGAAGACAATGCAATATTTACTACTTTCATACAATCAAAGAGCATGAATGTATAGCCTCTCTATGGATAAAGAAGCCAAAGATATTAATTACAGAAAAGTGCCTCCTTTCACCTCAACTTTAAAATTTTGTCCTCATGTTGAGGTCGCAGTAGTTTTCATTGTGCTAAACAAATATACATTAGGCCACGAGAGCAGTGGTTAGAAAATATTGGCCTTTTTCTAATTGTTTGAGTAATCTGAGACACAATAAATACTTGAGCACTCTGTTTCTCTCAGCAGTGTTTTCAAATCTAGTCCTTTTCATAGACACAATAAATAAGCCTCTGCTTATCTATCTTTTAAAAACTTAATATAATATGATAGTTAGTGCCTTGAAAATTGAAGTTTTTTCAGCTACTTCTGCCTTTGTAGTGATATCCTCCCTCCTTTTCTTTCTCCTTTTCTATCTTTTTGTGGGAAGGTGGGAGAAGGTTTAGTATGCATTTAAAATTGTGGCCATTATCTTTATTTCTTGCTCTGAAATTTCTAGGATAAGTATAAATGATTGGATCAAATTGCACAAAATACAACCAAAATGCACATGAAGGGGGAACAGTATCAGGTAAGAGATGGCATCAGGATCAATTTTCATTCCTACAGTTTTATCCCAAAAGGATAAGATGGTAAAATCATATTAAGAGCATTGTTTTACTCCAAACCTTTACGATTCAGCACCAAGAAGAAAAAGACCTACCTATAACCTCTCTTTAGTGCTATGATTGGCTCAATCTCAGCTATGAGATTCAGGGAGCAAGTGGACCAAAAATACTAGCTCCTGAATAGGGATGTGAAAAAGGGCTTTGCTTGCCTTGTCCATCTTCCCTTTGCTTACATCACTAGATTGAATTGTCTACAAGAGATTTATTCTTTCTTTTTTCATTTCATATCAACTTCTCGACATACTTTAATGTACCGCGCTTCTTTTCCTAATCATTCTACCATAATAATAATTATACTTCACACAATATGTTGCTTTCTCTGATGTAAGCAAGACATGCTATCAAAATTATTATCGCAAACACAATCAATTCTCATGTATTGAATCATGCTTATATCACAAACACATACATATATGGAGTACCCATAACGAGAAGGAAGATACACGGATATAGTAGAGTACCTGGACGTTCTCGTGACATGAAAAAAAAAGCAGCTGTGCCATAATAGGATATAGACATGGTCTGCATGGTATTCCAGAGATTCAAGCTCTGAGAAACTTTCTCAAAATCACTCCATGTTCCTGAAAGTGGGCCATTGGAACCCTTTACGTGCTATAAAGCACCTTCACCACCAAGCTTCCCACTCTCCTTAAACATAGGCTTCTTCCCTTCCAATACCCAAGCAAGCTTTCAACAATCCCTGAAAAATGCAGCCTGGTGAAGTCACAGGTCTCCAATATCTCATCCCCTCCAATTTATCCGCATATGCCAATAATTTTCCCATGGCTCAGAACAACCTACCTATGGTGCAACTTAACCAATTCTCAAATCCCTTACATAATTTCCAAGGAACTACTCAAATTCAAGATTTTAATCGGCATCCATGCTTGAGTAGCTATTCAACTTCTGATGAAGCAGATGAGCAACAACAAAGCCTCATTAATGAGAGGAAGCAGAGAAGGATGATATCCAATAGAGAGTCTGCACGCCGGTCACGTATGCGCAAGCAGAAGCATCTGGATGAGTTATGGTCTCAAGTAGTTTGGCTTCGGAATGAGAATCATCAGCTTATCGATAAGCTGAACCAAGTTTCAGACTGCCATGACAAGGTTGTTCAAGAAAATGCTCAACTCAAGGAGCAGACTTCCAAACTCCGTCAAATGCTCACAGAACTACAGGTCAATAGTCCTTACCCCAACTTCAGAGAAATTGAAGACATTACCCCCAACACGCCATCTGAGAGCTGAGACTGCACCGGTCTTATAATAGGTTGTATAGATAAGCCAGGGTGAGGAGGAAATTTTTTCCATTTCCGTTCTCCATTTATGGTTCTTCTGTCTCCAGTCTTTTCCTCCATTAAGCCTGTAGCTTCATGCACGTGAAGAAGAACTGCTACAACTTCTGTTTGAGCATTTTCGTTAATTAATGCTTAATTATGATTTTTACTTTTGGTATCAAAGACAGCTTAGTACTTCTAAACTTGCTCCATACGGAAATACATTGAGAGATACCTCATAATCCTATTTCAAATATAGTTCTAAAAACTAATGAGAAACTATTTATGATATGCAAATAACAAATACAGGACAAACAACGGTTCTTTGGCTCACCACAATTTGGTATCTTATTTGAGTGGTGTGGCTGGTGAGAAGAGTGTTTAATGATACTAAGGGGATTTAGTAGGGTTAATGGCATGGTTTTGTCCTATTCGCTTCCTCTTGAAATGGATTTTCCAAAGCTTTTTGCAACTACCTTATCTCTTCGTTGAGCTCCTTGCAGATCTATTTGTATCTAGAGGTTATTATTTAGATTAGAATTACCTAGTATCTAGGGTATTTAGATTTAGTTAGTCTTTCTCCCTCAACTGTAACTCTCTATGAAACAATAAGAAAAAATAGCGGTCGACTTACAACAGAAATAACCAACTGTGATTAAGGTTCATATTGTGCCGTGAAGAAAGTAGTAGTCATGATGTTGAGTGTACTGAACAAGGAAAGCAATCAGCAGAACGGGTTGGATGATTTGGACGTGATGGAGAAATAAGTGGTGGTAGATGGTATCGATTATAACTTGTAATAAGATTTCCCTTAAAAAATAAACTGAACAGAAAGATATCCAATGAAATTTTGAGCACTGCTAGCGCTAACAGCTTTTTGAAAGCTTTCATGTTTGTGAATAGACCAGAGAAATAAGTGTCAAAAACATCTACATAGGACCCAGAGTACTCCTCTGTTGACCCTTGATAAACGACCTCTCTTTTCCTTCTATGATTTTTCATACAACAGAACCTTTTCACCTTTTGTTTCTTTCCTACACATTCTTCAACATCTTCTGCCATTTTCCAAAAATATAAATCAGTGCTGAATTCTGATATTGTACAACTGTTAATCCTATAAACTCAGATGTTATAGGAACACGTAGATTCGATAACAGCGGACAAAATAAAAGGAAAACCAGCCAATTCTAGTTGTGCTCCAAAGATCTGAGCACAAACAGATTGAGGAGATAAGCCCATTTCCTTCCTAGAGAAGATTTTTTTCAGAATCTTCTGCACTATTTATGTGGGACTATTTGAGCTAGTAAAGTGGGACTATTTGGGCTAACCCAAGACAAGAGGAGACCGAAGTATTCAGTGGTTCACGGTCTGAGCAAGAACTCAACAGACTAGCAGTCATGCCATTTTCTTCATTACATATACTTCTCCGAAAAACATTGGCGCATGTAAACGGGGTGCTCTACCAACTGAACTGTAGCCCTTTGCTTGTGATACATATCTTATCATATAGACAATTTCTTGTCAAGATGAATAATGTGCGATATAATTTGTTTATTTGTTTGATTGGCATTGCTCGATTTATAATCTATCAATGTGATGGGACATAGCCCATTTATTTTTTCTTTGTTATGATAAGTGACTCCAAAATCACAAGTTTAGAATGTATGTCTACCCCTACAATTTCTACCTTCAAAGGAGAAATTACTTGCTCCATTTACGCTAATCCACTAATTTATAGTTTCAGTACTAAGAACTAGCTTGTGACTTACCTAAGGCGATCAAGAACTTGCAATGAACACCACAAATGAATGCATAACTTCATAAAAGTGCATTGAATCAAAAGAGTTCTAACACCCACATCGATCCTTAAACTCCAGCCCTAAAAAGACTTGGCACGTAACTTCAAAGCAGAGAATTCATAAACAACAACAACAACAACAACAACAACAAACATTCTTCGATTAATCTATTGGGTTGAGAAGAAAAAATATGAGAAAAGAGTCGGAAAAGGAATCTGAAAGAGAGAGATTTCAAAATCCGACGAACACCCAATGTCAGAACAAGCTTTCTTTCAAGAATCGTTCCAAAAACAACATGGAGATCTAAATGCTTTTCCAAGACATTGACCAGAGAGGGAGATTCATACCTGAAAATGCGCAGATTAGAGGTGGGAAATTGATCAAATGGGATTTTGATGATGCTTGCTCGCCACCATCTCCGCACGGAAATGAATCAACTTTTGACGCCCCTCCTCCCCGCCTTCATATAAAAAAAAAATAGTGTTATTATTATTATTATTTACTTTAAAAAGTATATAATTTTCATGATTTATAGTTAAAACTATATTCGTTTAGATCTAATATTCAATTTAAATGTAAAAGTATAAGAAAAACAGTCACCTTATTTGACATTTCTAGAGGCACTCCATTTTGGCTTCTTTGTATCTAGAAAAAGAAAATACATAATGATTTAGGTTAAGAAGTTATAAACGAATCTGATCATTTATTGTAAATCAAATCTATATTGCTACTCAAGTTCAAACTATGTGAATCCAAATCCATGGCGAAAGGCTCACCTAACTTCGCAAAAACTGATAATTTTCTGTTCAAATATTGTCCACCTACCAATGCCTCTGCTCTGGCGAAGGCTGCTTTTTGTTTTTCATTTTTCTTATTTTATGGGTCAATTTCTCCATTGGAGAGTCTCCAATTTTGACCGGAAAAAGGTCTATATAGCGAGTTCATATGGACCTGTGGTGATATCTTCAATTCTCTTGAACACCCATTTCATTTGATCGCCTCTTTCACAACCCCAGATCTCTATTTTCTTCGGATTTGCCTCTTTCTTTCCCGATCCAGAGAAAATTTTCAGGTTTGATTTCTTCTGGGTTTTCATTGAACTGCCATCTTCATTGTGCCCGCTATGTGTTTGCTGAAATGCCCCCCCCCCCCCCCCCCCCCCCCCC